CTATGTTCATTATTGGGTTGCAAGAACCACTATGCGGACAAGGATTCCGCATATCACAAATATAACCCTCTGGAAACTGTTGTTCAAATGTTAAAACTTTGGCCAAACGGTAGGATGGCAGAAAAACAAATGGTTGAATTGAATAAACCCAAGCAGCTAGTAAACGAATAGTTGAATTTACTGAGAACGCTTCGAATCTCACCGAATAATTTCCATTTAACTTCTTTGCTTTTGGATAGACAAAATAGAATTGACGCTTCGCATCGGTGTTGTTTTGGTTAACGTAGAACACTTCGTGATCAAGTACATATTATCGAGTAAAAACGTGCTAAAAAACTGACCATTGTCTCATTTTTCGGCATATTCTGTACGCTGATAATAACAGTAACCCGATCGCTGTAATACTGGCAATATCTACCATATAAGTGTGATGGACAGAAACACTCGATCGCTAATCCTCTTCTCACTGCAACACCACGATTGCATATCCATGCCTCTATTGAATGATTAGTGACGTACTCTTGATATTCAATACGCTGTAGCAACGACAACTTTGAAATTTGATATTCAGACTGATTGAAATAGTCTTGAATATTTTGCAACAAACTTGGTATTGGTTGTTCGAAAACCTGTTGCCTATTATCTGTCACTGATGGGGCTCGACTGGGATATGGCAAGACTGTAAAGCTAGATGGATCAGGTCTTTTTTCTTCTGCAAAATACCGATAACTACTTTTTAGTAGATAATTGTTTTTCGGATCACAGTAATATTCGTCGTTGGACGAAAGATAATCATTTGGAATTCCATCGCATCTTTGGTCTAAATACCGTCGCTTATCCTCTGGGCTCATCAGTCTGGGCAGTTTATCACACAAAAAAGTGTCTTCGCCATTTGGACATCGTCTGTTACATTGTGTCTCCTGGGAAATACATTGATTAGTAGTATTCGTACACTTGAAATTGAATCCCTGCATTTGCATTGACGAACAACTCAGCAAATTTCTTTCATCCGAACCACCATAACAATCTATTTTACCATCACCGATTTTTGATAATGGAATACAAGGCGGTGGTTCAATTTTATAAAGTAAGACAAGGTAAGGAGGTGCGAGAAGATATTCTGAATAAGGTACAATACTATGATAAACATTCTCTAATAAACACGGGTATTCTGCCATCAACTTGCAATTTTTGGAAAGAGGTTGATTAGCATATATGCCCTTGCATTTTTGAATTAAGCTAGTTAAACTTTGTGTGAGACCAGCATTATGCTTTGAAAAGTTTTTAATTAGAAACAAACCTTGTTCATCTGATGCGTCACTACAGTCCCAAACCTTGTTACAGACCCATTCAACGGGAATACATTGACCAGTGGTAACGCATTGGAACTGGTCCGGATAACATACTCACATAATACACTGAGCTGGTGACTCATCAGTACCCCACTTGAAATCTCAGAATGTATCTCAGTATTGATGAAATCTTATCATATTATTTAAACTCGTCGTTGAATTTGCAGCGACGCTGTCGATAAACTCGGTTGGATCGAAATTAGAGGATATCTGTGACTGTTCGATGTGTCTTCGCACAATTCTGCAACTGACGGAGTGAGGCCGTTCACACATATGCTTCGATAACTCGAGGTTCATCTCATCAATATACTCGTCACGATCACTCGTAGAACAATCTGACCGTTGGTTGCCTATCGCATATGGTAACAGACACGTTCTCTCGACATCCGGACAACGAAACCGATCTTTTTGAGCGAACAGCGGACAATTTATTCTACTTTCATCGTCGTGATTAAGACAATCAAATATTCCATCTTTGAGACGATATATGGAAATAAGTTAATGTGTCATGCTACAGGTGTGACATTGGCCATTCCAGCAAGTATCATCATACTTAGATCCTGTTATATTTTTCTCTAATCCGTTCAAATTGCAAAAGAACGTCTCCAAGTCACGCGCATAGCCTCTATAGTAATATTTGCGTTGAACACCATCTTTATCAGATGGATCACCACGAAACCCAAGACATTTAATACTACCACTAAAGAGATATTCGGATGCAAACTCATAACTGGTTAAATACGGTCGATGTAACGGTCTCAATGGATATTTGATATCACCATCCTCCCAGTTTGATTCACCACAATATTGTTTAACTTCTTCGCTACACTTACGCTTACATTGGCATTTTGAATGTAGACTGTACGACATATAACATTGAGTGTAAAACAAGTATTTATCAACTTCAGTTATATTAATTGTCGAGAACGATTCACCGTGTAACAGACAATTGCTGTTCTGTAATGTCCACATTATTTGATTTTCCTATTGGTAACGTGTTCTAAAAGTGGAAAATTGATAACAAGTTTGGTTCAGTACTGTGTAGAGTTTGTCCTTGGTCCGGCGCTGAAAGATAAGAAAAGTTTGCTTCTTTCGGATTTTTGGGGAGGTCAGAGAGATGTTCAATTGTATAAAAAATCGAAGAATTTAGTCCAACTTGAACTACCGAAAAGTACACCATCCATGATTCAACCCTTGGACGTGGGCTGGAACAGGCAGTGTAAGCATATAATCAGACAATGCTACGACCATGTTCGTCTCTACGATCTAGATATTAATCTAGCTCAACGAAATAATGTGATTCAGTTAAACTCACTAGCCTATAACCAGATCTTCTCTCCAAAATTTCACGCAATGACCCGGTACAGCTGGTACGAGCCAGGATATTTGCAAAATAATCCTGGTCCGTTCGAAAATGTTGGTCAGGTTTGTTTCGGTTTCAACAGTCATCGCTGCCATACAAATCAGTGTAACAATATACCGTTCATTCAATGCAGCTATTGTTCGAAAGTTTTATGTTTTCAAGGTTTTTTTCAGGCCTATCATTTTCATTGAGTCTGATTGTTTATGTTTTTTTCTGATTGTCAAGTTTTGCCATGAATGTTTTCTTTTTCCAGTGACTGAATCTTTCTCGTCATAAAACTGGACTGCCCGCTGCATGTACTGAAGCGAGAACTCGTGCAGCAAACTTTTGTCACCATCTTCCACGTTTTCTTCTTCATACTCATCACTTTGCTCGTCCTCTACACTTTGCTGGTCAAAGTCAGAACTGAAATCCAGAGTTTTTTCTGTTTCAAAACTGTAATCTGTACAGTTTAGTATCGACTCAATACTGTGAAACAAATTGTTCGCTACATCTTCATCTTTACGTTTATAAGAATACGTTAAGGTTTCAGAAGGAAGTTTCTTGAGAATTAAATTGGATAGAAGTCGAGTTACGTTATGTGGGTTTATCATCGTTAAGTTGCTGTTATTTTTTAGTGAAAGTTGGTATCAAATGAGACAGTCACAACAGTGAGAAAGGCTCTGTTTATTTTTCTCTCGCTTTCGCCTTTCTCTTTCACTAATCACTATTTTGTATGGAAGCATATGCTGGAGAACTTACATTCTAGAAGTGACGAGAACAACAACGACAGCCACCTTTAATTTATGTAAACAATAACAGCTGATAACTGATCAAGAAAAAGAGTCTGAAGAAGCAACGGGCGTAAGACTGTATTTTTACAGCTACTATAACGAAAAATCTACAGATCTTGAATGAAGCAGCGTAGAGGTCTGAAACTTTGGGTATACTTCCTAAATACATAGATCTATGTTGTGTGAAAGTTTCAAGCGATTTCGTGGTTATTTGATGGAGTTACGAATTTTCCATTTTTTCACGTTTTTCACTAGCAAACTCAGAAAAATGCCTATAACTTTCGAAGAAAGCTAAAGGGGCACTAATCCTTTTAGGCTTTTTCATACCTCTATATACTCTATCGAATGGCATATGAACGAAGGAAAACGGAGGGTGTCACCTCGGACCGTTCCCTCGTAAGCAACAGACACAGATAAAAGATTCAAAGTGCTTGTTAGTTTTCTTTTCTTGGGCTAGTATAATCATTCATCACTTATTCCATTGACTGTAAGTCTATGGTTATACGAAATAAAGTGTTTGTGTCCGTACACTGGTGTGACGGACAGTACACCGACTCTTCCGCGAACGACTTTTCCGCGAACTTTTTCCGCGAATAAAATTCTTTTCACACTCACTATCACGCTTCTTACTGCCACCACATTTCAACTAACAGAAGAATCATTTCGTTGAAAAGTCGATCCGCGGAAGAGTCGTGTCACGAAAGTCTCTAGAAAACTTTTCAAATATATGAAATTGTTTAAAATGATTATGTTTACTTGTCAAACTTAACAAAACAATTTCTTGTTGAAGATCAATCATATGAACAAGAATATTTTGACTTATAGTTTACACATATGTAACATTATCAAAACAGTCAAAAATGATATCATGGGCTTCGGCCTCTTTCTTTTTTGTTCTGTACTTTTTCCTCAGTCACAATAAATATAGCTTAAACCAAATAAAAACTGAACATGATATTTGTAGGAATGATAACTCAATTTTTGCATAGCAAACACAGAGGATATTATTATCAAACTAACTTTCTTTTAACAAAAATATATTACTTAACTTCCTTTTTCGTTGCCACAACGTTGTCTAGTTTCGAATTATCGAGGTAAAGACTACTCTAGACAGATCTTCTCAGCAAAATAATATTGCTCTGTTTGATTTATGATACGTATTTCTGGTGGTTACTCTACACTGAGTTCACTGAAGACATTTTCTGACTATTAATTTAACAACAAAACAACATGCAAAATACCTTCGCCTGAGCAAATACGTGTTACGGATAGAGAAGAATAAAAAAAAAAAAAGATGAATTCTTCATCGCTCGCCGAACAAGAGGAGAAAAGCCACAAACAAAAGGCTGAAAGGATTTTAAAAAAATGTACTATGGATAAAAAGAATGAAAAAATGATGTTCACAGCATTAATAATACAATAGTGTGGAGAAGATTGCATGCGCTTACTTGAAAATATTGTGATGTTGCTTGTGAATAAAAAATAAAAAAATAATTTCAGATTCATTACAACATGGCTTGTAATAAATTTTCGTCATCCGCTTCGAAACAACAGTCATGTCGTGACTGTTTCAAGACAAAATTAGAACCAGTCTCGTCGATTGCAGTCTATCAACAAACACGTTCAAGTCCTTGGTCAATGAATCTTCAGTCACATGATAAATCACAAACTGCATGTAACTATTTCTTACCATCTCCATGGCAACAGCACAAGTGTCGCGAATGTTTCCAAGGGAAAGATGCACATGCAATAGCACCACTGTTTCCAGTCACAGTCGAGACCTCTGAAACAATTAGACCACCAGTTCGGAAGCCATTAATGACAAATCAAGTGATACCAACTACAGAGTCAACACCTGCAGCATTTCATGAACCATCATCAGCAAGAGAGGAACATGTGCTATTAGCAGAGAGTAATACAATCTACACTACGGGTGATTATTCAGTCTCAGATTTCACAGATGACAGTATTTCTTCTATTGATGATAACTGCGATTCAACATCAGCTTCAATTCCCATAAAACCTGTACACATTAAGATGGATATAGAAGCGAAGAAACTGTCACAACACCTTACTCCTTGTCGTTATGGTTCAAAATGTTATCGAAGAAATCAGATGCATTTCGAACAATATTCTCATCCAGAACCACTTAAACGTCCAGACGAGCCTCAGCAATATCGACCGGAAGCCAATATGGAACATGTGGAGAAACGAAAAACAATAATTGAACGAATTATGACATCGATTATTCATTTAAAAAATCGAAATAACTACTTTGAAAATGAAAATGATAAATTATATTCAAATATATTGAAAATGACTGAAAATAAAGAAATGTTGCATCAAGAGTTAAGTCACGACATAGATAAACGAGAAAAATGCACGGTAGAACACAAACAAATATTTACTATAGACTGTAATACACCATTCTATCGGGGCTTAAACGCTCTATCGAAACCCTATTGTGAAATCGTTATACCACAAAATACAAACGAATTTAGTGTGTGTAGTGATCTTTTAAATTTAACAATTGAGACACATGGTAATAAATTTGGTACAATTTGTGGGAAAGATCCAACGGAATTTATTATCACGAAAATTAGTCGAATCGAAAATGCTGAACTATGGCGAGAGTATTGTCTTAAAAAAGTAAGAACAACTGTCGAAATAGTTTTACCTGCTAAAACCCTGCTAGTCAACAAAGATTTTCATGTGTAAGTTTCTACAGAAAATTGCTCTGACGGATTGAATAATTACTATCCGTTCCCATACAAGGCAGGTGGTTATTTTTTGAATAACTCCAAAGTAATAAAAGACAGAGACTTGCGGTTTTCATCATTCGCTAGCCAAGACCTGAAGCTATATTTTCATAAGCAAGGACGAATTTGAAAAGAATTTCAAAGATCGATTTTTCCGAAGACTTGTGGAAAACCAGTTCAGTTCTCCGAAAGCCGGCATATAAATCTATGAATTTTTTTACGTAGATATATAGTCCGAAGTGTTCTCTACAAAACTTGATCTGAGCAACATCTCAGAAGTCCGTGATGCGGGAGCTATGGACATTTTTCCTGAAGCCTTAGCACTCTTGTGCCGTTAGCTTTGTGGCTGTTAGAAATGAATGAAAACATACATTATCGACTATGTTGAATCTCGTGGTAATGTTAGTTTTCATAACAAAATACAACAACGGATTCAAAGCCTATACTCGAAGAAACAACCCATTTTTGATTATTTTCATTAAATAATTCATAACTGGGTCAGAATCCATCCAACCTACTTCAGAATGTCAGCAAATACTCTATTTTAACTGCAACATACTGTAGAGATCAATAAATGTTGAAAAAACCAACAGAAAATGCTTTGGTTTCTAAAGGGTTTCCCAGAAGCCTTCGGAACTAATCGAGTATTTTTATTAATTTTACAATAACTCAACTAAATTCATTATTTTATTTAATAATATAGAAGCTTTCAACTCAGACTAGAGTCATCGTCAGCTACACGGTGAAAAAATAACCGTCAAAAAAACCGTATAGAAGAACCATGAAGTAAAAAACTACAGTATGAAAACCGTAAAATGCAAAAGTATAAAACAAAAACTATGGAAGTAAAACCGTAAAGGTTAAAACCATAGAAACAAAACCGTCCACTTTCGAACCATCGAAGGAAAACCCTAAAATAAAACCGTCAATTTAAGAACTGTGAAATTAAAATCATGAAAAAATATCGTAAAGCTCAAAACTGTAGAAATAAAATCATGAACTGACAGTTTATCAGAGGAAAACAATGAAAATAAAAGCGTGAAGAGGAAAACCGTGAAAGAGTTTTCATGCTTTTTAGTTGACGGTTTTATCGAAGCTTCAAAATTCATTAAAACATGTGCAGTTTCAGTCGTTAGCATGTCAAAAAGTCTTCCCAAGCAAAATAGGATCTAGCTTAAGCTAGCTAAAAGGAACATTTACCTAGCTTGAGCTAGCTGATTGTTCCTCTTTAGCTAGCTTAAGCTAGATCCCATTTTGCTTGGGTTCCTATAACATTAGTTTAATAGAGCGAGTCTTTGGCTTTTCGACAAATCTATCTCCACTCAGGATTATTCAATAAAGAGCATTAGCCGGGTAGATAAGAGAGTAAAACTGACACTTGGGACAGGGAGGAGTGGAAGACGTCTTCCAGCGCATGTTTCTGCAAAATATGCCTGTTTTGTGAACTTTCTTGTTTTACAAATTTTGTTCTTTGAACTGCGACTATCTTGAAATCGTTCTGATGCTGATAGTCTTGGAAGGTAGAGGAGAAGGATATAGTGAGTCTTTCCCTAAAATGCTAATCATAAATTTCTAGACATTTGTCATAGGATACACTGGATGGTATCATATGATATCTGTGCACACCTGTACAGTTAGCGTTTCTCTTTTATATCTCAAATGTATCTACGATTGCGAGGAGCTTTGTAAATTCAACAGCGATAGCTTTTCGTAAGGTGTTGAAATTTTTACAGAAGTCTGTCTTTGAACATGATGAGTATGTAATGCGAAGACATACTTCTGTAAGTTCCTCAGTTCAGTGGTTTGTGCCTTGGTTTCATAATTCATACTCACCAAGCGTACCAGGTTCGATTCTTGGAGGAGCTGTTCTTTTTTTCTTCCCTTTCAAAGTAGACGGTTTTACTTGCATAGTTTTACCTGGACGATTTTTCTAAAAGTTTTAAAACCGTCAAAGCAAAACTGTCATATTGGAACCATGGGAAACAAAAGCATGAACAACTAAAACCGAGAAAAAAAAACGTGCCAAACTGACTGCGAGAAACCGCGTATAAAAACCGTCATGAGTTTCACGGGTTTTTTTCTCCGTGTACGTATTTGATAAGAGGAACGACGTATATAAATGTCAGACAAAAAATGGGATGATAGTAAGCAAGGAGAAGAAACACTGTAATAGATATCTATTATTATTCTCCTCCTTACATGGTTTAAAAGTACGTTCAGTGATTCGCGGATAAGATCAGGCGATGATCATCCCATTTCTTGTCTGACATACATATACGTCGTTTCTCTTATCAAATATGTAGCTGACGATGACTCTAGTCTGACGAGGGAACCTCGCCAACTGATACACTTCGTTTGAGCTGATATTTTGCGCATAGGTAGGAATCATAGTGTAGATAAAAACTCTAAAAGGATTCGTCCCACTAGCTTGTTCCTGGCGAGATATAGAATTTTTAGTGATTTTTTCCTGCAGGATCCCAGTTTTGCAGCCAAATCATATCTTGAAATTTCGATCTCAAAATTTTTCCGAATGAAGTTCTCAACTAGACTAGCTTTCTTAAAAGATTTCAGAATTTTTGAACAAAGTCTGTCCGAGTTATCAATTTTCGAAGCTATACACGCTTTTTCATTGATAGTGTATAAAACATGCATCTTTTGAAAAATTCATAACTCGGAGAGACATTGTCCGAAAATTCTGAAACTTTTTATGAAAGCTAGTCTAGTTTAGAACTTCATTCAGCCAAAGTTTCAGGTCGAAATTCCAAGATATAATTTGGCTGGAAAACTGGGGTTCTCCAGAGAAAATTCAGTAAAAATTCTATATCTCACCAGGAACAAGCTAGTGGGACGAATCCTTTTGGAGTTTTTATCTACACTATGAGTCCTACCTGTGAGCAAAGTATCAGCACAAACGGATGTGTATCAGTTGGTGAGGTTCCCTCGTGAGTTGAAAGCTTCTATATTATTAAATAAAATAATGAATTTAGTTGAGTTAGTCGTACAAATATTATTCACGTTTATCAACGTTTTCTCAACAAACAATATTAGTGTTGATTTTACACACAGAATCAGAATGTGCGAATAAAATAGAGTATTTCCTGACATTCTGAAGTAGGTTGGATGGATTCTGACTGAGTTATTCAGAGAACTGACTGGTTTTTCCAAGATCTTCTAAAAAATCGATCTTTGAAATTTTTTTTAAAATTCGTTTTTGCTTATCGAAACGTAGCTTCAGGCCTTGGCTAGCGAATGATGAAAACCGCAAGTCTCTATCTTTTATTACTTTTGAGTTATTCAAAAAATAACCACGTGCCTTGTATTTTGGAACGGATAGTAGTATAACTCATCTGAACTGCAGTTACATAGTTAAATTTACTTATTGAAATACTCAGTTTTTTTAAACGGTACGTAATTTTCATCTGGATGAATCCATATGAAGCCTTTCATGATATCCAAAATCGTTGTGGCAGCATGGAAATTATGTGTATTAGATTAGAACAGAAAGAATTGTAAGCTTTTAATCCAAACTGTAGTTCTGTACCTATTACGAGAGCGAAGAAACTAGCAAGATAGTTTTTCATCAATTTAGTGTTAAGATTGCTGTTTTCCAGCTATGTTCACCTAACTTATCATACCTTTCCTGCCCTCTCCCCACGCATAAAAACAATCTACTATCGCCCGATTCATCTAGATTACCAGATTTTTACTCGATTGCACTTATTTGGTAACGACAGTGAAAATCTAATAATCGGGTGATTGCGTGATTTCTCCTCAATGCAGCTATTGATTTAACTATTGCTAGTTGTACATGCAGACGCATCTAGTTAAAAGTCCCTTTTCCAACTAGTAATCTAGATGACAACTAGTCGTGCATCGGCCGATTACAGACAAAATGTATCTGGATTTTCCCATAGGTGATTTTTGCTCGGGTCTTTCTGATCAGCAGTATAATTTCTTTTATTTAACAGATTAACTCAGAATCTATGAAATATGTCAATAAAAGTGCTAAAAATCTCATGGTCCTAGCTCAGACTACTACAACTTTTGTATAAAAAATTTGTTTAATGCACATATGTCTGAAAGATAGATCACACCTTCTCTGCAAAATGAGACGTCTCCAAACTCTAGGCAATATTTTTTTCGTCTGAAAAAAAGAAACGTTCAGTTTATAGTTGAGAAAGCTTGCACAAACTGAGAAGTTCATATCTTTTTAAGGAAATATCGCTGACCGGCAAGAGAGGCAGGAAAGGTATGATAAGTTAGGTGAACATAGCTGGAAAATAGCAATCTTAACGCTGAATTGATGAAAAACTATTTTGCTAATTTCTTCGCTCTTGTCATAGGCACAGAACTACGGTTTGGACTAAAAGCTTACAATTCTTTCTGTTCTAATCTAATACATACAATTTCCATGCTGCCACAACGATTTTGTACATCATGGAACGTTTACCTGTTAGTCAGGAAGTGTTTTCTCTGTATGCAGCAGAGCAGTCTTTATAATGAGCAAGGATATGAAGATGGGAGAAAACAATGACTATGAAGATGTAGACAGCATGTAGAAAGCAACTGCTGAGTTTAAAAACCGCATATTGTTGAGCATCAGGGAAAAAAAGACATTAAAAAGCCTATTGTCGATTTCATCTCACAACGATGGTTTGCGTGAAAAAAGAGTCGATACGAACCTTCCTGGATGATACTCTCCGTTTTGAATGATATTATGCCCATGGATAGAGAAGAGTGTCCTAGTAAAAATGGTAAACTAAATTATCCTCATAGCACTTCTTTCGAAATTTATCAATTGTTTTGCTTTCGTCCTAGGAAGGCAACTATAGAACACTAAAAGTTTCATGACTCGGGAAAAACAGGGACTTAGGAACTGAAATTTCCTTTTATCTAACTTCACTACTCTCTAAAACAAATCCGTAGCTTTTAAAACGAATATCGGTTTTGTATCAGAGA